CTGATGGTAGCCCTAATTTTAACATTTCTGCTGGAAGTAGGGTACAGAAGAATATCTGCTCTAAGACAGTGGCTGTCCATGTGGCAGCTGTTTGATCAGGATGCAGGAAGCGCTGCTTGACGCTGCAGGAAGTGCTGCTTGACAGAGCCTCATGATGCTTTCTGAGGCTCCATCTGCAGACGTTGTGTTGGATAAGACCCAGGGAGATGCCGCAGAAAGCACAGGCAGGAGAGAAAAAGCAGAAGCTTTGGACAGATCATCAGGCTAAAGCCACAGCTAAGAAAGTGACCATTTCAGGAAGGACTTTTAATGTCTTCTCCTGGCCTACCAATGACCTTCAAGCTCAAGGAGAAAATAATGCTATTAAGAAATCAGCTGGGTGAGTTCTGGGAGATTTTAAAAATGAGCTGAAAATGGAGAAAAGGTTATGAATTCCTTTTTTTGTTGTTGTTTGTTTGTTTGTTCATTGTTTGAGACTGAGTGTTGCTCTGTCACCCGGTCTAGAGTGCAGTGGCATGATTTTGGCTCACTGCAACCTCCACCCAAGTGATTCTCCTGCCTTAGCCTCCCGAGTAGCTGGGATTACAGGACACTGTGCCCTGCTAATTTTTGTATTTTTAGTAGACATGGGGTTTCACCATATTGGCCAGGCTGGTCTCGAACTCTTGACCTCGTGATCCACCCACCTCGGCCTCCTAAAATGCTGGGATTACAGGCGTGAGCCACCGTGCCTGGCCAGGTTATGAATTCTTAAAAAAATAAGGCAAAGGATCTAGATTTTGTTCTTAAAGGTACTTTTACTGCTAGGACCAAGGCGGAAGTTTTTTTTAAGACAAGGCAATCTCTTCTTGGTATCATCTATCCACCAAAGACATCAAAGTTAGTAGTCCAACAAAAATCATCCTAATAATTTTATCTGTTCTGTAAATGGATGTATCCCCACTCAATACCTAGAATAATATCTGGGATATAGCAGGTGCTGAGTAACTATCTGTTCAACTAATTAATTCTATTTTTCAAAAACACCAGCTCTAGAGACCTAAAACAACCAAGAGATCCCTATATCTGTTCAGCAGTTACCTGGCTGACAATCTAACAAAAGCCAAGAAAGAAAGTGCTGCCAGAACACTAATAAGGAAGCATTCTATTGTGCAAAGGCTACTCATGATATAAGCATGTTTCACTAATAATATTCCTTACATTCATAAATACAAGGATAAGAGAATGGGTCCCGAGGTCAGACTGCTCTAGTTTAAACACTGGCACAAACCCCATGACCTTAAATAAGGTACTCAACTTCTCTGAGTCTGTTTCCACAACTAAAACCAAAAAAGACAGGTAGTAACAGTATTCCCTTCTTGAAATTGTTGAAAGGGGGAAATGAGATATACATAGTTCCTGGAACACAGAAGTGCCTAATAAATACTAGTAATTATTCATTTTTGTTTTGTATATATCCACAGTCATAACTGAGGGAAGAATACAGGATCATATATTCACTTCTCCTGACCAAAAGAAATGGCCTTAAATAAGAACTAGGCAACAAAATGCATTCTTTCTCCTGAGGGATAAATGAAAAAATAAAAAACAGCTATTAACACCTTTTTTTTTTTTTTTTGAGACAGAGTCTCGCTCTTCACCCAGGCTGGAGTACAGTGGCACAATCTTGGCTCATTGCAACCTCCGCCTCCCAGGTTCAAGTGATTCTCCTGCCTCAATACCCCCAAGTAGCTGGGACTACAGGTGCACGCCACCACACACAGCTAATTTTTGTATTTTTAGTAGAGATAGGGTTTCACCATATTGGCCAGGCTGGTCTTGAACTCCTGACCTCATGATAAGCCCACCTCGCTTCCCAAATTGCTGGGACTACAGGTGTGAGCCACTGCATCTGGCCACACCACATTTTTTTTACTCTTCTCAATCTTTATCTCTCTTGGCTTTTCTTCCCACATCTATATAAAACCTTTCCTGAGCTCCTGTGATCCTGGTTTAACATGGCACTGCTGGCTATTAGGAGACAGTTTTTATCTCTGTTCTGCAATAACACTGTGTCCACACGCAAGACATTAAACTTTACAGGGCCTCAGTTTCCACATCTGTGTAATGGAGGAAAAGTATAATGGAGGCAGAGTATATTATCTTTAAATTCTCTTCCAAAGCTAAAAATTCACAAGCAAGTACTCATTAACTATTATTAGTTCATTCAGGTCAAACACTGATCTAAACTCTTAGAAAGTACATTTTCACCCTATTTGGAATGCCCACAAAATGGGTACAAGTATAGCTACCCTCTGAAAGCTAAATTTTGCCTGGTCAGAGGTCTAATTTAAAATGACATTGTGGGATAACGACTGACATGGAAAGATGTTTACAATATATATTTTTGGTGAAAAAAGGCAGATTACAAAATATGATCAACAATATTAATCCCAATTTGGTTAAAAAAAATGCATATATACCTACACATATATCTCCTTGAGGTGTATAGAATACACTCCAAGTTGTTTATGTTTATAATTTTTCTTTAAAAAATGTTTTTGTTAGCAGGGTACGGTGGCTAATGACTGTAATCCCAGCACTGTGGGAGGCCGAGGTGGGTGGATCACAAGGTCAGGAGTTCGAGACCAGCCTGGCCAATATGGTGAAACCCTGTCTCTACTAAAAACACAAAAATTAGCTGGGCATGGTGGCAGGTGCCTGTAGTCCCAGTTACTTAGGAGGCTGAGGCAGAAGAATTACTTGAACCTGAGCGGCGGAGGTTGCAGTGAGCCAAGATTGTGCCACTGCACTTCAGTCTGGGCGACAGAGCGAGACTCGGCCTCCAAATAAAAAGAAAGAAAAAAAGAAAAGTTTTTGTTTATCTGTACCTTATTTTTCTACAAAGAATGCTTATGGCTTCTGGAATAATAACTCAAACAGATGTTTTATTTAACAAGAAAGATGGATTTGGTACCTAAACTGTAACCACATCCCTCCCTAGAGCAGAGCTCAGCACCCAGCAGGTCCCCTCACAGAGGCACCAACATCCTTTGCACCCTGTGTCTGGGGCTGGGCTGGGGTTGGGGGTGCTGTGATGTTTTTAGGTACCAGCCATCAGGAACCATCAAGATAGCCCCAGATCCCTCCCTCCTGTTCATCTCAACTTTCAGAGCCATCAGCTGCCCGCTTAACTAGCTTTACCAATTTGTATCCCTCTGAGTAGAGTTTTCAAAGCGTGATCAAAGCTCCTAAATTATGGTTCAAGGTTTTAACTGTCACATTCACTGATTTAGAATAGTCAAGGATAGAAGAAGCCATTTTACTCTGGCAGCAATCCAATTTTAAAAGTCAGAGTTAACTACTAGTCCTCATTTTATGCTGTCTGATGCCAGTCCTTTCTGATCACAAGGAAAGAAAGTAAGGTCATCATGTTTAAAAGCATGATCTTAAAATATCTTATCCAGTTAAGCACTTTTGTTTCTAACACAAAGTGCTGACTCTTGACAGATTCTCTGGCATACTGAAAGCCACCACTGCTGAAGCTATCTGATCAACCAAGAACAAGCTTATCACCAGATACAGGTATCATTACATCATAAGGTGTAAAGGTTGTTCTGGCAGCTCAGTCATCCACCAACAAACAGGTGTCTAAGAAACTGAGATTTCCCAATTACCAAAACCCATACAAAGAAATAAGCAACAGCATGACATACACCAGGGCACTTCAGAGAAATGCAACATAAGGGAAAACAGGGTAGAAACAGGAGAGGACAACTCAGAAAAGTGTCCTGAGGAACTCCTCCCACTGGGTAAGCCAAGAATAGGTTACCAGACCCAGGGATCTCAGAAGCACGTAAGTTATGCCTCAATGCTGCTCATCTGCCTTTTACATAGCATGATTACTTGGTAAAACCTACATACTTAAAAATACATTGCTTTCTCACCCTTTCCTACTCTTACCTTTTTTAATTTTTTTTTTGAGACAGAGTCTTGCCCAGGCTAGAGTGCAGTGGCACGATCTTGGCTCACTGCAACCTTCACCTCCCACTGCAAGCAATTCTCCTGCCTCAGCCTCCTGGGTAGCTGGGACTACAGGCTCTTGTCACCACACCCTGCTAACTTTGGTATTTTTGTATTTTTAGTAGAGACAGGGTTTCTCTAGGATGGTCTCAATTTCTGCACCTTGTTATCCACCCGCCTCGGACTCCCAAAGTGCTAGGATAACAGGCATGAGCCACCATGCGCAGCCTTATCTTTATCTTTTAAAAAACCATCCACAATTTAGGTCAGAGCCTTATCCTCTGTTACAAAACATGTTTAGAGTCAGACTACAACAAAGAGGCATAGTGTCTGCACAGCATTATTTTAATGCAAGAAAACAAAACTGCCAACTATAAGGATCTGAAAAATGTGACTACTTCAGGATTATTTTGGGGATGAACCACACCCCTTCCCTAATTATCCCTCAAAGGAAATATATCAGGCACTGTGGGCAAAGAGAGAAACATGTCTAATTACAACATGTGCATTTGGTGGATGAAGAATTTGAACATTCTTGAACTCTGGCCACATTTCAGAAGACTTTCCACTTGCAGTTTAATTTCACTGAAGAGAAAAGTTTAAAGATCAGTTGCACTTCAGCCAGGGCTCTATCAAAAAAAGACACAAAGAATACCCGACAAGCACAGGCAACCAAAGCAAAAATGGACAAATGGGATCACATCAAGTTAAAAAGCTTCTGCACAGCAAAGGAAACTATCAACAAAATGAAGAGACAATCCATTAAATGGGAGAAAATATTTACAAATTATCTATCTGACAGGAGATTAATAAGAATGTGTAAGAAGCTCAAACAACTCAATAGGAAAAAAATCTAATAATTCAATTAAAAATGGACAAAAGATATGAATACACATTTCTCAAAAGAAAATATACAAATGGCAAAAAAAAAATAAAGTATATGAAAACGTGCTTAACATCACTGATCACCAGAGAAACACAAATCAAAACTACAGTGGGTGCTCGCTTCAGCATCACATATACTAAAATTGGAACAATATAGAGATTAGCACGGCCCCTATGCAAAGATGACATACAAATTCATGAAGCATTTCACATTTTTAAAAAATCTTTAAATATTAAAAAAATTATGAGATATCATTTCATCCTAGTTAAAATGGCTTATATCCAAAAGATAAGCAATAACAAATACTGGTAAGGATGTGGACAAAAGGGAACCCTCATACACTGTTAGTGGGAATGTAAATCAGTACAACCACTGTGGAGAACAGCATGGCGGTTCCTCAAAAACTAAATATAGAGCTACCATATGATCCAGCAAGCCCACTGCTAGGTATATACCTAAAAGAAAGGAAATCAGGGCCAGGTGCAGTGGCTTACGCCACAATCTCAGCACTTTGGGAGTCTGACGCTGGTGGACTGCTTGAGCCCAGGAATTTGAGAGCACCCTAGGGAACACAAGACATCATCTCTACTAAAAATTTTAAAATTAGCCAGGTGCTCTGGCATGCACCTGTAGTCCAGCTACTTGGGAAAATCGCTTGAGTACAGGAAGTGGAGCCTACAGCAAGCTGTGATCATGCCACTGTACTTCAACCTGAGCAACAAAGCAAGATTCTGTCTCTAAAAAAGGAAGAAAGAAAGAAAATCAGTATATCGAAGAGAAATCTTCACTCCCATGTTTATTACAACACTACTCACCATAAATAGATTTGGAAACAACCTAAGTGTCCATCGTTGACAGATGAATGGATAAAGAAAATGTGGTACATAGACACAAGGGAGTACTATTCAGCCATAAAAAGGAATAAGATCCTGTCATTTGCAACAGTGAATAGAACTGGAGGTCATTATGTTAAGTGAACTATGCCAGGCATGGAAGGACAAACTTTGCATGTCCTCATTTATTTGTGGAAGCTAGAAATTAAAACAATTGGTCAGGCACAGTGGCTCACAGCTGTAATCCCAGCACTTTGGGAGGCTGAGGTGGGTGGATCACCTAAGGTACGGAGTTCAAGACCAGCCTGACCAATATGGAGAAACCCCATCTCTACTAAAAATAAAAAATTAGCTGGGCACAGTGGTGCAGGCCTATAATCTCATCCCAGCTACTAGGGAGGCTGAGGCAGGAGAATCCCTTGAACCCGGGAAGTGGAGGTTGTGGTGAGCCGAGATCACGCCATTGCACTCCAGCTTGAGCAATAAGACCAAAACGCCATACTCGTCTATAAAAAAAAAAAAAAATTGAACTCATGGAGATAGAGAATAGAATGATGATTACCAAAAGCTGGGAAGAGTAGCAGGAGAAAGGGAAGTGGGGATGTTTAATAGGTACAAAAATACAGTTAGACAGAGTAAGATCTAGTATGTGATAGCACAACAGGACGACTACAGTCAATAATAAGAGTATAATTGGATAGTGTGCAACACAAAGGAAGGATAAATGTTTGTGGTGATGGATATCCCATTCATGTTTGTATGCCTGTATCCAAATATTTCTTTTTTCATTTTTTGAGATGGAGTCTCGCTCTGTCACTCAAGCTGGAGTGCGGTGGCCCAATTTCGGCTCACTGCAGCCTCCACCTCCTGGGTTGAAGCGCTCCTCCTGCCTCAGCCTCCCTAGTAGCTGTGATTATAGGTGTACACCACTACGCCTGACTAATTTTGGGGTTTTGCCATGTTGGCCAGGCTGGTCTGGAAACTCCTGACCTCAGGTGATCCACCTACCTCAGCCTCCCAAAATGCTAGGATTACAGGTGTCAGCCACCACATCCATCCCAAATATTTCATGTATTCCATTAAATATATACACCTATTATACCCCCAAAATTGTTTTTAAATTTTTAAATGTTTTAAAAAGGCACAAAGAGAAACTGACTGTATTACTTACACATGATACTACAAGGGAAGCCTGCTGAAAATTTAAGACTACCCTGACTCCACATCAAGTGCTAACAGGAAATGGTTTGTATTTTAATACTAGGACTAAAAATAAGACCGATTTTAAGAGCACTCTCCCCTGGAGAAAACACACTTATCTTGAATTTAAAGATACATATGCAAATGCTTCAGGCCCCAGGTGGTCTCATAGAAGCATTCCCTGATCAGATCTCTCATCCACAGCCCACGTGCTTCTGCACGACAGAGGTGGGAAGACATCTGCAACAAATTTGGTCCTGCTTCTGCACTTCTGCTGGAGAGAAGGGCAGAAATGAACCTTCACAAATCCAAAATGAGAAGGCATCTCAGTAGGCATTTGGATTAAGAACTATTGCTCAAGAAGCCCTGAGCAAGGCCTACAAGTTCTGATCTCTCTAACCTCCTCTCCTTGTCCATGGGGCCGGTGCCATGCTGGCTTCCTTGATGCTCCACCAACCCTTCAGACATACTCCCACCTCACGACCTTCCCTGGGGGGCTGTTCCCTCTACCTGGACGCTCTTCTCTCAGACTCCTCATATCTTCAAATCTCGGCTCAAATGCCACCTTTGCGAAGAGGAAAAAGATGCCTTTTCTTTCCCATGATATTTATCACCTCCTACTACACCGTATAATTTACTTAAATATCTATAATTCACCATTTTCTCCTCTCCCCCTCAAGCTCCAGGAGAGCCGAGTTCTCTGTCCTATTCACTGATGTCTATCACAAGCATTTAGAACAGTGCCTGACACACACAGTAGAAGCTCAAGAAGTATTTTCTGAATGAATGAACAAACTTCTTGACATGAAGATTCAGAACAGTAAGTGGGTGGAAAGGACGATGGTGAGGGGATGAGGAGAAAGAAGCGACGGAGGAGAATTTCCAAGGGAGAGCCAGAGACTGGCGGAGGCCGGGCCGACCCCCGTTTCTCCCCTCAGCGCTGATGGGAGGCGGACTGACGTAGGTGCAGGGCATCCCGCCAGTGGCATCCGAAGCACTCACAGGCAGGGAGCGGTGGCTGGCCGGCTCCTGGGCTCACTGAGAAAGTTCAGCGGCAGGACAGACCCAAGCGGGTTCCGGTCAGGCCCCCTTCGGAGCCCCGACCCCCGGTTCTTCCCGTCCCAGCAGTGCCCACAATCCCAGTTCCTCTCCAGAATCCCCATGGGAGTCCCGGGCCGCAATCCCTTCTCGGCTCGGGCACCTCCACCAGTCGCCAGCGACCGGGCCCTGCGCTCGGGCACCTGCCTGGCGGTGCCGGGGTCCCCACCCCGGCCGGCGAGGAGGCCCAAGCGCGCCCCTGCGGCCTCAGCCCGCTTGGCCGCCCAGTCGCCCTGCACAAGGGCAGGAAGCGATCCGCGGCACTCCCCACCGCCGGGAAGGGGCTCCAGGCGCCCCATGCCCGGGCCGCCCCAGCCCGACGCCCCGCCCGTGCGGCGCCCCCTCACCTCAGGGCGTACGTACGACACGAAGGAGGGCTTGGGCGCCTTGGTGCCGCCGCCACCGCCGACTACCCCTTTCCCCAGCATACCGCCGCCGTGGGAAGCAGCGACGCGCGGGTGCAGAGGCGGCGGCTCAGGCTCTGGCTGGGGCAGCAGCGGCGGCCACCAGCACTAGCGGCTGGGGCTCCGCCCATCCCCAGGGCCGCTGCCGCCGCCGTGCCGCCCGCATCCGGCTCCGCGGCTGACACCGCTCGCCCCGCCCAGGCTCGTGGGCCCCGCCCACCCCGCGCGCGGCCCAGCGAGCCTGGAGCCCGCAAGCGGAGGCCACGCCCCCCCATCACGGCAGGAGGGTCTGACCCGCCGAGATCCACCACCTTCCTGCGCCACAGCCCGCCCTCATGCTTTCTCTGATTGGCCAGAGGCGTTGCCGGCTGACCCCCTTCTTGAACGAACCTGGAGAGATGTTTCCTCTAACCAATCCAGACAGCGTTCTCTCCGGACTTTCCGACGATTGGATGGGTGTCACCGTCGTCCAATGATCCTGCAGTCACCAAGTTGTCGTGAGCTGTGGTTCACCGCAGGCGTTTTCTTCCTTTTGCTTGTGTCTTTGGAATAAAACGTCCAAAAGCGGGATGTATGGAATCTCGCTATAGCAGTTCCAAATTTACATCGATGACGTTCAAGGTATTTTATTTTATTTTATTATGTACTTTTGAGACGGAGTTTTGCTCTTGTCGTCCAGGCTGGAGTGCAATGGCGCGATATCGGTTCACAGCAACCTCCGCCTCCCATGTTCAGCGATTCTCCTGCCTCAGCCTCCCGAGTAGCTGGTATTACAGGTGCCGTCCAGCTAATTTTTTTTTTTTTTTTTTGACAGAGTCTCACTCTGTCGCCCAGGCTGGAGTGCAATGGCACAGGCTAGGCTCACTGCAGCCTCCGCCTCCTGGATTCAAGCGATTCTCCTGCCTCAGCCTTCCGAATAGCTGAGACTACAGGCGCGTGCCAGCACACATGGCTAATATTTTTTATTTTTAGTAGAGACGAGGTTTTCAGCATGTTGTCCAGGCTGGTCTCGAACTCCTGGCCTCAGGAGATCCACCCGCCTCGGCCTCCCAAAGTGTTAAGATTACAGGCGTGAGCCACCGCGCTCAACCTCAAGGTTTATTATTTTAAATGTAAACAAAAGTGAGAAAAACGGATGACTCATGCCTCTAATCCCAGCACTTTGGGAGGCCGAGGCAGGTGGATCTCTTGAGGCCAGGAGTTGGAGACCAGCCTAGCCGACATGGAGAAATTCTGTCTGTACTAAAAATACAAAAATTAGCCGGGCGTGTTGGCAGGCGCCTTTAACTACTTGGGAGGCTGAGGCACGAGAATCGCTTGAACTGAGGTTGCAGGGAGCCAGGATCGGGCCACTGCACTCCAGCCTGGGCGACAACGAAAACCTGTCTCAAAAAGAAAAAAACAAAAAAGGGAAGACAAATCAAGTGTTAACAAGGCAGTAAGGAATAAGTTTGAGTGTTTGATAATAAAAGATTTGTCAACTTCATTTTTCCAAACTTTTTCCGCTTCTTTGTGTTTCTAACAGGAAGAATATCAAGAGCCCGTAAGAGACTTATTTTTAACTCTACAAAGTTATTGATAAAACCCTCATTTTTTAGCCAAGATTGCAAAGAAGAAAATTCATTTCAATTCTACATTTGGTGCCAAGCATTGTTAGATTCAGATAAATAAGAACAAATCCAGATCTTAAGAAATTCAATGTAGTGGAAAAAAACTGATAAATATATGCAGTTAATTTTTTAGGTGTTAGGCACCATGCTAAGTACTCTCAGTGACCTTGATTTTTACCCTCTTAATCTCTATTTGCTTCCCATTCCCAAATACACTGCAAGTAAATATAAAATCTTAGTGAAAAGAAATGTGCTTGCTTTTGCAAACAAAGTTTCAACACAAGTCCTGCAGCACGATTTCCAGCCAGATTGCCAATTATAAGCCTATTTGGTATATCTGTGCTTCAGCCGCCACTGAGTTTCCTTATCTCTGTTTCCAGGTGACAAAACAGACATGCAAGTAATTTGGCCAGGTCTCAAACTAATCACTGAGAGAGCTGGGATTCCAATCCAGGTTAGTCTCATTTGAAATTCCAAGTTCTTAACATTATGATTATACAAATTAGGAGCACAATGAAAGTGTGGTCCATTCTATTGGGAAGTCCAAGTTGAAGCCATCCTTACAAGGTTGAGAAGAATTCTACACAGAAATAAAGTTATAACCAAGCATTAATCAGACTGCAGTTTGACCTGCTTCTTTGTATTAATAACTCAACGTCAGGTAACACTAGGTGCTGACCACTTGCATCTCTGTTGTTTCGATAGGTAGGATTTCTGGCTCTGGAATTATAAGGGTTTTGTTTAAGAACTGCTTAGGCAGATCCTAAGTTCCAGCAGAACAGCCAACATCAACCAGTTTAAAGACCACTCTCCCTAACACACACACACACACACACACACGAACTGAATCAGCATGAGAATACAATTTCTTCATCTTTCTGTCTCATGACTTCACCCTGCACTTTTCAACCAATCAATGATCTCCAACTTTGGTCCACTTAAAAACCCTAGCCCCAGGCAGGGTGCAGTAGCTCACACCTGTAATCCTAGCACTTTTAGAGGCTAAAGTAGGAAACTCACTTGAGTTCAAGAGTTCAAGACCAGCCCAGACAACATAATGAGGCCCTCTCTACAAAACATTAAAAAATGAGCCAGGCATAATGGTGTAAGCCTGTAGTCCAAGTACGCAGAAGGTTGAGGTGGAAAGATTGCTTGAGCCCAGAATTTGAGGTTACAGTGAGCTGATATGTCACTGCACTCCAGCCTAGGTGACGAAGCAAAACTCTGTCTCAAAAAAAAAAAAAAAAAAAAACCCTAACCTCAAACTCCTCGACTCCTTGGGGAGATGAATTTGAGGTTTCCTCCCATCTCCTCACCCAGCAGCTCTATAATTACACCTCTTTCATGACTGTAACCTGCTATCTTTGTGTATTGACTTGTCTAGTGCATTGGGCAACAAACCTCTTATGGTTACTAAGTAAGGCTTCATAAAGAAAGATATTCTTGGCTGGGTGCAGTGGCTCACGCCTGTAATCCCAGCACTTTGGGAGGCCAAGGCGGGTAGATCACAAGGTCAGGAGTTCAAGACTAGCCTGGCCAAGATGGTGAAACCCTGTCTCAACTAAAAATACAAAAATTAGCCAAGTGCGGCGGCTGGGGCCTGTAATTCCAACTACTCAGGAGGCTGAGGCAGGAGAATCACTTGAACCAGGGCAGCAGAGGTTGCAGTGAGCCGAGGTGGCACCACTGCACTCCAGCCTGGGGGACAGAGCAAAACTCCATCTCAAAAAAAAAAAAAAAAAAAAAA